ACCCGAGAAAAGCTCACTGTCAACATCAACCCCTGATCGGATATGGTTGGAAACGTAGGTCGGAGCCAAACCAAACTCCGCCTCGCCTATAGTGCTAATTTTCTTGACTTAGTTGGGGAGTTAATAGTTGAACTAGCCAATTAGTGTCAACATCTTACGGTCCAGCACTGGGGGCAGTGTAACCCCGGGGTCGGAGGTCCGACTAAGACCCACGACAGCGAAACGTCTCCCGACCAAACCCCAAAATCCCGCGTGGTGCAGAGGCCGCAGACAAAAACACATGTCCGAAAAGACTAGGACCACAAAAGATCAAAACGTAGAATCGAGCCAAAGGTTGGGGGGGTGGGACCGATGAAGGTTGGCGGGGGACAGCCCACGCCTCAGCGGATGTCGCGAAGTTCTGAAAAGCGGCGTGACAGGAAGGCCGGCATTCCGGCGTTTAGGCTCGAGGCACTCCGCCGTTAACGAAGACCCGAGGCATGCTGGTGGGGCTCGAGATCAAGCTAAGGTGGGTTTGTCAGTGAGCGAGTTATGTCCCGCGGTGGCCCCACAGGGGGGGTAATGTGGTTGAACTTACTTTACACCAGCCACGATCCTGTGACCCACATGTGGCTATCACACCCGCCCGGTTCCCTCCGGTCGGTCGTCACGGTACCCCGTATTCCTTCCCTAGACTTTGTCAAACAACAACCACACACTCGAAAATCATAAACTGCAAGGCCGCATTCTTAATCACACACCCCCCTCCTCACAAAAAACCACGCCCTACCCAAACAACAGAACCAACCCAACGAACCACCCCCCAAGCGACGGGACGCCTGGCGCCCCCCCCCCCCAACCCATAGAGTGGCCTGACACCGGCCTAGCGCGCTGGTCATGAGGATTGTTGGGGGCGGATACATCCATTTCCTGGCTGAGGTCACCAAGGTGGTTGGCAGCCTCCATGGTGGCAAGGCTCAGGGTGTGGATGAGATCCGCCTGACTATCTAAAGTCTCTGGATGTTGTAGGACTGTCTTGGCTGACACGTCTCTGCAACATCGCGTGGCGATCGGGGGCAGTGCCAATGGAGTGGCAGACCGGGGTGGTGGTCCCTCTCTACAAGAAGGGGGACCGGAGGGTGTGTTCCAATTATCGTGGGATCACACTCCTCAGCCTCCCGGTAAGGTCTACTCCAAGGTACTGGAGAGGAGGCTACGGCCGATGGTCGAATCTCGGATCCAGGAGGAGCAGTGTGGTTTTCGTCCCGGTCGCGGAACACTGGACCAGCTCTATACTCTCCATCGGATACTCGAGGGTTCATGGGAGTTCGCCCAACTGTCCACATGTGCTTTGTGGATTTGGAGAAGGCGTTCGACTGTGTTCCCCGGGGTGTCCTTTGGGGGGTTCTCCGGGAGTACGGGGTCGGGGGTCCTCTGCTGAGGGCCATCGGATCCCTGTATGACCGGAGCCAGAGCTGTGTTCGCATTGCCGGCAGTAAGTCAGACCTGTTCCGGTGAATGTTGGCCTCCGACAGGGCTGCCCTTTGTCACCGGTTCTGTTCACTGTATTTATGGACAGAATATCTAGGCGCAGCCAGGGGTCGGAGGGGGTCCGGTTCGGGGACCACAGGATTTCATCTCTGCTGTTTGCGGACGATGTTGTCCTGTTGGCTCCAACGAACCAGGACTGCAGCATGCACTGGGACGGTTTGCAGCGAGTGTGAAGCGGCTGGGATGAGAATCAGCACCTCCAAATCCGAGGCCATGGTGCTCGACCGGAAAAAGGTGCCTTGCCCTCTGCAGGTGGGTGGAGAGGTCCTTCCTCAAGTGGAGGAGTTCAAGTATCTCGGGGTCTTGTTCACGAGTGAGGGAAGAATGGAGCGTGAGATTGACAGGCGGATCGGTGCAGGTGCGCAGTGATGCGGGCGAAATTACAGGTTACGCGCGGTGGTTTTGGGTTTGGGGGGGTTGGAGCATGACCGGGGACCTCCAAGGGGGAGGGAGGAGTAGGTGAGGACGGGGGGGTTGGAGGGTGCCTAGGGGGTCAGTGTGAGATTGAAGTGGTTTTGGGCGCGCAGGCGAGGGATGGGGTCACAGGGAGGATAGGAGACGGAAGTAGGTATATTTGTGTGCGCGGCGGTGTGGATCAGCCGCCTAGTTGGGGTGTGGTAGGCAGGTTGTATTCAGGTTTGGTGGGGGTTCTCTTTTTGTTATTGTTTCATTTTCTATTTTTTTTTAGGTGAGCCTTTTTTCTTTTTTTATTCTTACATCATACACCTTTCCCCTAATTTACCACTCCTTCTATTATCTCCCTTTCTCCTCAACTCAAACCTTACCCACCAATAACGCCCCCCACCCCCCCACCCCCACAGTACTCATCCTCCAAATTTACCATCCCTATCCGCACTATCATTTCACCAATCCTACCCCTTACATATTCAACCACCTATATTATTCATTTCTCTCACTCTCTACCTACCACCCTTTCTTATATTTACTCTCCCTGCATAACACTACTATCTTCACCGAATTCTTATTACTCTTCTCATAACCTGGTAATCCAACTGGACTCCACCCATTTTCGTATATCTTTCCTCCCACCTTCTTCTTCCCTCCCTTCCTAACCACTTTTCATTATTTCCATCATTCCACCCATCATTCATTTTCACCTCCAATTTTACCCCCCCTCCTCTATTCTTCCTATTATATTTTTATTTGCATTTCATTTTCAATAAATACTCCATTCCCTCTCCCCTTACCTTCTACACTCTTTACTTCCCACCTTAATTCATTTATTTTAATTAATTCTATGTAATCCTCCTTATATACACCCCTATCCTACTCCATACCCCCAACCTTTATCCTCCAATAACCTCCTCCCCCCATATACCCATTAAATAGATAAAAAACTTTAAACTACTATAAATATTAATATCATAAATTATATTATACACAAATACAAATAAACCCCATTTAATAAAACTTACCCCCATCACCCAAATATACCCCCCAAAATAAATCCCCCCCTCCCATTCATTTCCTAATTATACCCCCACCGAACCAACTATCCTACCCCCATACCCACACCCCCCCTACTTACCCCCCCCAACACATCACAATACCCCCAAACCAATTAACCATAATCCAAAACAACAACATTATCCAATATTTCGACTCTCTTAACCATTCCCACACATCCCTACACCCTCTTTATTCGGGATTTTCTCTAGGCCAAATCCATCTATACCCCAATTCCTAAATTAACATCGATAAAACACAAACAATTGTATTAATCATTCACTCCCTTATCCTCAACCTAAAAATCCAAATACTATCCATTATAACAATGAAATAACTAATCTAACAACAAATACAATCCCCCCAGAAATCAAAACTGCACAACTTCATTAAACTAACTCACCACCCATCCAATTGACTTTTACGTCTTTACTAACACTTACCATATCATCCAAACGACCACATCACAAAAAACGTCCCAATTCACCAAACCCTAATACTCTCCCCACTCCGAGTACCAGAACCCTATCATCTCTATTTCAATGACCTCCAATGTACTTTATATTCGCACCGTGAACGCTTGGCGTATGATAATTGAAGTACCAATGACCCCTGCCCAGGTTTGCCGAAGGTGGTCATATCAATTAACCATAAGTACCAATTTCTTTCCTCAGCAGCCCCATGGATCACTTTCCCACTATGCTGCAGTATACTGACGCTTTATGCTCAAGTTTCCATAGCATACCCCCCCGTCGTAAAAATGTAACCCCTCCCCCGTTACTATTTGTGTTAACAAAAAGGTGTGAAAAAACAAGAATAACAATTCCCTCTACATATATTATTTCAACGAACAAATATACTTGTAATGTGCGACAAAATATACCCTATATCATCCTTACCAACGACAAACCAAAACTACAAAGTGAAATGTGGCCGACTAATTAGATTAACCACCCACATTACTTGTCTCTTATGCTCAGTACTGTATCATATGTGAATCACGACAACATTCGCCTATCCAAATCAAAGTGCAACCCCTCCCACACCATAGACTAACCCCCCCAAATGTTAATGTATGGTCAACCTTGTGCATTTTTATATTTACCTATGCCTAAAAACAATAACCACCACCACACCAACCGCCAGACCAACCATTAACACCCACTCCCACCTGCTACACTCACAATATCCCATCCACACACAGCCATACCCATTCACCGGTCACAGACCCATCCCCTCACAACGCCAGACCGCACACCTTGCAGCAGAAATAGACCCGCCCGCGCTACTACTACTCAGCACTACACGCACACTCATTCTAGAAGTGAAGTCTCGTCTTCCCAGTCAATACTAGAGAAAGAAGAAGAGGCGTTTAATACTTCAGCAAAAAAGAATCTAGACGTTATGGCTTCATTTTTTTTTTTTCATAGTTACTTACGTTGCATTATGGAGGCTGTTGAACTCTTCTACATTGAAGACCTCATTCCAATAGTCAGCAAGACTTGTCTTACTTATTCTGAATACATGATATTAAACATAATGTATGTAGTGGTCATAAAATCAGAATAAAGCATCAGTTAGATTTGAGGTCGCCAATATACTGTAAATGCAGCTGGTCACCATGTTTCTCTGTCTTTGTTGTCGTTCCTCCGTTTCTGGCATTTTGCTTGTATTTAGTCTGCAGCAGCACTGAAGGCAACTATGTGAATCATACATCATATATTAACAATCTTTTTGTCCTGATATTATTATGAGCAGTAGTCACTTGAGAATTGCTCTGTGGAACATTTTGCACTTGTATAATGTTACTTGATCCATTGTTTCTCATTTTTCTGTTAACCTGACCCATCACAAAAGACAAAATAAAAGAACAGTTGCAGTTCAGTTCATTCGTTTCATTGTTTGGGTTGAATAACATGTTCAGGGCATAAATAAAAAGGTCCATGGTCATAAACTCAGTAGAAAGAGAGAAATCCAAACTGCAATTATTATGTGAGAATGTTCATGCTAAGTGTGAAGAGTAAATGGTCTCAAATTCAATAACATGTTTATGTTTTAGGATCTGCCTTGCAGGACTTGTTAGTAGTGTACTATTTGTGACTGCTGAAGCTCAAGTTGGGTAAGTGTCTGCTTTAATACCAGAAAAGATATTTCAATAACAAAATATATTTTTTAATTCACAGATTGACAGAGGAGAATTCCTATGTAAGGATACTGAACAATGTCTTATTTATAACACTGTTTGCAAAGGCAAGAATTTTGAGGTGAGTCTGAAACGTCATCCAGTATTTACTGAACATGGCCTACCGAAGATACTAATACACCTTGACAGAATAGAAAGAATATGGCACAACTGACAATACCAATACCATCACACTTTTTTAATCCATCACCACATTTTTGTGGTGATGGATACTGGATATGGTGATTTTGACTCTAAAAGAACATTGCCAGAATCCGCCCCATTCTCTCTCGGGGCAACATGGAGACGCTGATGCATGCTTTCATCACCAGGCGCATTGACTGTAATGCCCTACTCTCTGGTCTTCCCAAAAAGAATATTGCAGGTCTTCAATTACTCCAAAACTCAGGGACTCAGGACCACATTACACCGCTCGCTGCAAAAATCGCTGCATTGGCTCCCCGTGTGTTTCAGCAACGATTTTAAGGTTCTTTTACTTGTTTTTAAATGTCTTAATGGTCTTAGGCCAGAATTGCTTTTATCCTATGAACCTTCCCGGCCCCTGCGCTCCTCCGGCAGCAGACTCCTAACCATTCCCAAAGTCAGGACACACACTCACGGTGAGACATCTTTCCAGCACTATGGCCCTCGTCTCTGGAACAGTCTGCCGGAGGGGCTCAGGGCCGCGGAGAACATTCATATTTTTAAAAGCAGTCATACACTTCTTTCTTTTAAAGAAACCCAGCCTGGACCCTACAGATCTTCAGAACTTTAGGCCCATATCAAAGATCCCGTTCTTGGCCAAAGTCCTGGAGAAGCTGGCCTACAACCAATTATCAGCGTTCTTGGAGGCTAATAATATTTTTGACTCCTTTCAGTCTGGTTTCAGGAGGTTCCACTCCACTGAAACAGCTTTACTGAAGGTGTCTAGTGACGTCATGATGGCTGCTGACTCCGGTAAATGTTCCGTCCTGGTCCTGTTAGACCTGTCGTCTGCCTTCGACACGGTGGACCATGGTATCTTGATCTCTAGACTCCGGGATGTGGTTGGTATGTCAGGCTCTGTGTTAGAGTGGTTTAGATCATACCTTAAAGGTAGAACCTTTTGTGTGTCTTCAAACAATGTGGTGTCTGAATCCGCAGACCTACAGTGGGGTGTACCCCAAGGCTCCGTTCTTGGGCCTATTTTATTTATGTTGTACCTGCTCCCGCTAGGAAAGCTGATCCAGCAGTTCAGTGAGGTCTCCTACCACCTGTATGCTGACGATCTCCAGCTGTACTGCTCTTTTAAGCCCTATGAGCCCCAGAGACTGGTTGCTCTCACTAACTGTCTGGACAAAATAAAGATATGGCTTAGTGAAAATAGCCTCCAGCTGAACTCCAGTAAAACAGAAACCTTAGTGTTAGCCCCGGACAGTATTGTTTCTGTTATTGCTCAACACCTCGGTGACCTAAGTAGCTCAGTAAAAAAGAGTGTGAGGAACCTGGGAGTCACTTTTGATGGAGGGATGTCCCTAGAACGACACACCAAACAGCTGACCCGAAACTGCAATTTCCACTTGCGCAACATCTCTAAGCTCAGACAAATGGTCTCGGGTCCGGAGCTGGAGATGATTGTCCACGCTTTTGTTTCCTCGCGATTGGACTACTGTAACAGCCTGCTTACATGTCTTAGTAAAAAAGACCTGGCTCGTTTACAGGTCGTCCAAAATTCTGCTGCAAGGCTTTTGTCCCGCACCCACAGGAGAGCCCACATTACCCCTGTCTTAAAGGCCTTACACTGGCTCCCTGTCTCACACAGAATACATTTTAAAATTCTGGTGTTGACTTTGAGGGCCCTTCATGGTCAGGCGCCTGAATACATCCAGGGCCTGATCCACCCTTATGTCTCCAACAGGAGTCTGAGGTCCTCTACTCAGAACCTGTTGATGGTCCCCCGGACTCGTTTCAAAACCAGAGGAGACAGATCCTTCCAGGCAGTTGCTCCTCGCCTTTGGAATGAGCTTCCTCAGTCTCTGCGTATCGTAGAGACTGTTGATGATTTTAAGTCCCAACTAAAGACACATTTGTTTGGACAGGCGTTCTCGCACCATTGTTCATAGGCCTCTGTGAATGTAAATTGTGTTTTCTGTGTTTGTTTTATCTGACTTGTATGTGTATTTTGTATTTTAATGTGTGAAGCGCTTTGTGACCCTGGTCTGTGAAAGGCGCTATACAAATAAACTTTACTTACTTACTTACTTACACTACACAAATATGGTTTTTATGGAAGAGTGGTGAATAGAAAGTGGTGAAATAATGCTGCACGAGTGGAGAGGCACTTCCTCAATTGGAGGAGTTCAAGTATCTCTGGGTCTGACTGAGGGAAGGATGAAACGTGAGCTTGATGGATTGGTGCAGCGTGTGCAGTAATGCAGTCGCTGCATTTGGCCGTTGCGTGAAAAGTCAAGATGAAGATGGGCGGCACGGTGGCTGAGTGGATAGCCACTCTCGCTTCTCAGCAAGAAGGTCCTGGGTTCGAATCCCGAACGGAACAGGGCCTTTGAGAGTGGAGTTTTCATGTTCTCCCTTTGTCTACGTAGGTTTCCTCCAGGTGCTCCGGTTTCCCCTACCACTAAGAACATGTACACTAGGTCTGGCATGTGCCGCCTGTACTAGCGACCCTGCTCCCATCTCTGTGTGCAGTGAGGGGACAATTGCCCACAATTGTAAAGCGCTTTGTGACTCTGGTCTGTGAAACGCCGTATATGAATAAAGATTACTTACTTACTAAAAGGCAAAGCTCTACTGGTCTACCGGTCAGTCTGCATTCCCACCCTCACCTGGTCATGAGCTCAAAGAGATAGCGACTGAAATGATTTGATTGCGGGTACAGGCCTCTGAAGAGATAGAATGAGGAGCTCGGTCACACGGGAGGAGCTCGCAGTATTGCGGCTGCTTCTCCACATTGAAAGGAGCCAGTTGAGAACCTCCTTGGGAAGGTGTTCAGGGCACCTCCACCTGGAGGAGACCCTGTGGAAGACCAGCACACGTTGTCTCTCAGCTTGCCAGGCAACACCTCGGAATTCCCATTGATGAGAGGGAGGAACTATGTGTGGATATGGATAAAGAAAATGGATGGATGGAAGAAGCAAAACATGTGGGAGGATGTGCAGGACTGTGTGGTCGGATGGGACCAAATGGAATTTTTTGGCCAAAACATGTGATGGAAATCTACACTCATCACTCATACCATCCCCAAATATGGAGGGGGAGAATCATGCGACTGTAGATGTACAGAATTTGTAGAATCATACCTCAAAAGACGTGCTGCTGTTGTCGTAAAAGGGGGTTCCACAAAGTTCATGCTGTACGAACACTGCCCAAATGTTCAGTTTTCGATTTAGTGAAAAATATCAGAATCATATAAAAACATTTTTTTTTAAATTATTATTTACTATTATTTGTGTTGACTTTTTGCTTATACAAGTCCTCAAGGTGGATTAGTGCTTTAGAAGGGGCAAAGTATGTCAAACTAACCTCATAAACAAATATTGTTTGAGTGATCTAAGGATGTCAAACACCTTTTAATGCCACACAATATTGGAAATATGTACATGTATACAATTAAACAAAAACAATAAATATTTTGAAATTGTCTGTAATCACCAAGGATAGTAAATCATCTTATTTTGATAAAATAATTGAAAGTCCTCTGCATTCTGCCAGATACGCCACTATAAACCTGTGAAATGGGCTTGCGCTTCCTCCAATGCTACAAATTGGCTGTCTGGAGTACTCCCTATCCTTTGGAGCGTGTTCGGATACCTTTCAAATGGTGAGTTCAGCTGCTGCACTGAGTGAAACTAAATAAGTGCATATTATCTACATCAAAAACTATGAACTGGATTCGATTATTTTATTTTTTCCACACAGAAATGAAGGTCGGTCCTGGAACTCTTGAAATATCTGCCCCTTTCAATTCCACTTCGTTGTTTGGGTTAGCGTTAGGGTAAACAAAAAGGCACTACACACTCTGCTTTCCGCTGCCAATGGAACATCAGAACGACCCGCCCGATCCAACCAACGAGGTAAAGAGCACACCTCACATTTCACATTTCAGTCCTTTTGAATCTTTTTGGGCACACCAAGATATGCATTAGACAGTATCTATTTACTATAGCATGTTTGCACCTGGAGCCAAAGCAGATTTCTTGTTAGGAACTTCCTGTTACTTACATTGGCAATAAAAATAATTCTGATTCTGATTTTTTTTTTAATGTTTTGTGGCTGGTTAGATAAATATATGATTAACTTAAAGAGAACAAAATTGGTTGACAAATAATTGAATGGGAGGAATCTGATCCTTTTAGTGGTACACAGACGCTTTCACATTCATTTAATTCTATAATTTTGTCCTTCTTTGAGTTAAACCAGCCAGCCAGGCAGCTGTGGCTGGTTAGATCTAAGGCAGCTGCCTGGGGTAATGGGGGTGAAGTGTCTTGCCTATAGACACCAGAACAGTGCTTCTTATGAGAGATACAAGCAGATATGGCCACTTATAGATATGGCTGCAGCTAACAATTATTTTTTGTCTTATTTTTTTCATATATATTTTGGAAAAGTACAATTCATTTTAGTAGAAGTTTCTAATTCCTAAATCAGACTGTCGCCTTCAAAGCCGTGTAGTCTCAACGCAGAAACATGTTTGTGTGAAATAACTACAGACATTAGTTCAGTGCACTTGATTCTTATAAATTATATATGTAAATACTCCCACAAAACAGTCCTAAATCTAAAATTCACAATAAATGATAAATGACTAATTCTTGAGACCAAAGAACATCAGCTGTCACTCTCAAGTTCAAAAGCAGCCCATGTTTCAGGTGGAGATATTGGAGGCTGGGGACAGCTACGTGTACGTCAGGTCCTACAGGGGAATTATGACTGATGCCACTGAACAAGCACAACTTCTGTCCCAGAGTATCAATACGACTATCAAGAACTTCCGTCACGTTGGATATAACAAGTGAGACAGAATTGATCATCATTTCCAATGCATTAACTGTATTTCACACTAATGTGTGATTTTCTAATGCAGGCCCAGCTTTGACGATCGTTTGGAGGTGTGGGCTCATGCTGATGATACGGCCCAGTGCAATTGAGCAAAAATCTGCCTTAACTAATTATTATATAAACAGAGGTACTTTGTCAAGAAGACGTTCAGTTCTATATACCCTGTAGTGCTGTGATTTGAGAAATAAATGTCATAAATATGCCTTCTAGTCTTCTCACTACATGATAACAGACATAATGTACAATTCAATTCAATTCAGTTTATGTTGGAATAGCCCTAAATCACAACAACAGTCAACTCAGAGGACTTTACAAAGTCAAAGTTAAGGGAATCAAACAGTTCGAACATAGAGAATACCACAATACCACAGTTTGAGCCATAAGTTCATATGACCATTGTCTATGCATGTGAATAAAGACAAAAGACAAAATAAAAAATATCGTTTTTGTATTTAGGTTATATTTTCAATATCACCATTTGTAATGGACTGTGAGGTATGGGACAACCGCAGGTTTTTGAAATCCAGTACAGTGTGCCTCTAGGCATCTAGTGTGCAAGCTCAAAAAGTCATTGTATGGATTAAAACAATGGAGGTAATTAGAATATGTTACAGCATGATCCTCTTACAGGGAGCAAAAATAATACTGATCAATGTGTCTCCAGCAGATCATTTCAGAATGAGAGTGATTCTACAGCGGAGGAGATGACTTGATCAATGTGAATAACAGTTATTTTCAACATTTCTTTTACAACAGTGAGAAGAGAAGATTTAAGATGAAATATATGGGTTAATTAATGTTAAGCAGAGTGAGGGAAAGATGAAAAGGAGCGTTTTTATTTATTTAATATATATAGATTATTTACATGGTTTGTGATTTCTAAATAACTGTGGCTAATTATGGTAATGTAAACTGGTCATAGGCGAGGCCGATGGTCTTTCTGCAAACTGGTTGCATGTGCATCTGGCTTTGTTTGCAAGAGTAAAAGGGTAATTTCTCAATACTTTGCATTTATGTATTAGGGGAAAGGTTTTAATTTATAATGAAAACAATACAATAAACATTCTCCCTTCAAAAAGAAAGTCAAGTGTCTGGGAACAAGGCCCCCTCTTCTGACTGTGGACTGTGTGCTTTGAGGCATTTTCTCTGAGGTTAGGCAAACAACATTATTCACTTACAGTCTCTTCAATTTCATTAAGGGATTCTTAATTGCCCAAATGAATTATGTAAATTTGAGAGATTAATCAACTGTAAATTCCACTCAATCAAATTCACTTCATAAAAGTAACTACATATACATTCTAGACTTCAGGCTACTCTTGATTTCTATTTTCTGCACGGTAAGTAATATTAAGATAACCTCAGTACTTTTCCACAGCTCTTCAGAATTTGACTGTTAATGCTTCATTGTTTCGTCTGTGTCATACGACCTTGAAGTAGATCTGCCCTTTGTCTCGGCTTCTCTGCACTCTCTACGGCGCCTCTTCTCTCAAATAAAAACTGCAAAAATATAACAGTATTTAGCTTAAAACGATAAACAGTAAATATATGAATGTTGGACATTATCATCTTGAAAGCAGTTGAGGGCTAAGCACACATTTATTATAATGTTTTTTGTCTTATTGTTGACTCTTATCTTATCAGCAGCGCGGTGCGATGCTTCCATAATAGTTTCCTTTTGCCTCTAGACACTGGAGGACAGAGGAGTGCCAGTCAGGAGAGGTTTATGGTCCCAGTAATGGGCGAAGTCCACGGTGGTGTCTTCACAGCTGGGCTCAGCTGGGCCCTTTGGCCTTCCGGCTGGCCTCGGCACAGTGTCTGCTCTCTGGTCTCAACCATGAAGTCCAGGCCCGAGTGACTGGAGCTCCAGCCAGAATGGACCCACCAGGTTTCCCCCCACTGCACTTTGCTCCTCAGGCCGGACACTCTGAGGAGGGCTTACACGCAGAGGCAGCCCCCACATGTGAGTACACGACTGAGGGCAAGGGTTTAACGGAACATGACTCAAGGAGTTCAAACTTTGTTACATTAATCAAAACTTTTATTTAATTGCTTAATATACGCTAATATTTAGATATGAACAATTGTTGAGCATTATGTAAGAATCATTTCTTCTGTTAAACCACATTGTGAGAAGATACAGTTTTGTGCTGACTTTTGTAATCAATCTATAGTCAATAAAAATGTTATCAGTTCATTCTGCAAAATAAATGTTTATCAATTGAATCTTAAGGTGTATTCATACTTGTCACGGAAGCTACTTTTTACAATCAACAATCCTCCTTTTGACCCTTTTGTTGTAGAACTGGGATGATTTGTTGTTTTAAATACAATCATTTTATACTTTTGCGGTTTCTTTATTTCAGATCATGTATTTTGTTGTAATTTTTAATTGTATAGTTTACTGGGACTATCCTACTATATTGTCATTATGCTAGTGACACAAACTTTTCTCGGTCTTGGGTTATTTGTTTTCATTACATTTTTGAGTATTTATTTTGTGTACAGCTCCTGAGTGTGACACAGAGACTGGACCTGAGTTGCTGGAGAGCTGTCCAGTGTGCGGAGACAGAGTTTCAGGATACCACTATGGGCTCCTCACCTGTGAGAGCTGCAAGGTAACAAAGCCCCCGAAAAGAAAGCAAACGCTGCACATCCAAGAGGGCGACAGGAGCGCAAGAGAATCACCTTGAAAACAATATTTTCTGGTTTATTAACATTTCGGCTCTACTGTCATCAGGACTCATTAAAGTACTCCACATCTCACCCTTTTCAAGTGTTAGCGTTACAACAAAATGTTTTGGTTTTCAAGAAATGTTTTAACAATTATTCACAATCAAGATTAATGCCACTTGGGACTACCTCAACTTAATTAGATAATCACAATTAATTCATAGTTTTTTCTTCCATAGACTTAAACATGCAGATAAGTAGTTTTGGGACACAGATAATGCTATAATGACTGCAGAGTGAAATTTAGATCTCTTTACATTTCAGTATTTTTAATCAAACAACAAACTCAATGTTCTCCAGGGGCATCAATTGATCCTTTTTTTTTGGTAAATTATATCAAAAATCCCAAATTTGTTTACCTTTCAGAATCTAAACAGCTATTCAATTAACCAAATCATATTTAATTACAGACTTTAAAAACAGATATTAATAAAAATCTATATTTTCCTCCATTTTTGGTTCGATATATTAAATAAAAAGCCTATATTTTCACAACTTTACAATGGTATTTTAACAAATGAAGGAGTCATGCTTGAAAGATTTGGTTGTACTATTGTAAAAGAATTAAAAATGTACTGAATTAATGAAAATCACTTTGTGTTTTTTAGCAGTGTTCAGGTTGTGACCAATGTTATGAAATAATACATCACAAAGTTACATGGAAATGACGTATTTAGCTCTTGTGATTATATCGTGATTATATGTTCTTGTGACCTGAATAATCACTCCTACCATTCACGTTATTTTATTTTTTTAAAGGGCTTTTTTAAACGGTCTGTGCAAAACAACAAACACTACAGCTGCACTGAAGAGCAGCAGTGCCCCATGAACCTCACACAGAGAAAGCGGTGTCCGTACTGCCGCTTCCAGAAATGTTTAGCCGTGGGCATGAAGAAAGAAGGTACCAGTTACAAGCAGTGTTTCAAGTAGTCCGTTATATGGTCCAATCGCAGTTTTCTATTCTGAATACTTGGAATAATGTTGATTTGCATATGCATTCCTCTGGCAGAATGAATAAAGCTGCCTGAACCAGAAATGTATTAAAACGTAAAAGTCTATCATTGAAGAAATTGCGTTTTCCAGCTTTTTATACTGATTAGTTATTGTTAGTTATAAATAATCATCATAAATATGTTTGTAGAATCCTGAGCGTTTTGAAGCCCAAGTTTTATGATCAAATACTGCTTTTTATATACACATTCATTATCATTATTATTATTTTGTAGTCACCGTATTCTAAGGTGAAAACTATTATTATACATAGTCCTACAGCTACTCTACTCAAACAGTATTTTGGTTACTACATTGCATGATCCATGTGGTTACTTACTCCCCAACATGAGTGAGTAATATTTCACATTATGCAAGACCATTTCCCCTATGACGTATTGTTTCCTAGTAGATATATCTCTTGTATGGTGACCTATAATGTTCTTCTTTGTCTGTAGCTGTACGTGCGGATCGTATGAGAGGTGGAAGGAACAGATTTGGCCCTCTGTACCGCCGTGACAGGCAGATAAAGCAGCAAAGGCCTTATCAACAGACAAATACTGCCCCCTTCTGTATTAAAATGGAAAGTGCAATACCACAACCGCCCATGACTGCAAATTATTCTTTCCCTCCCGATTGGAGCTATAATACTGCCTTGTCTTCGAGCACTTTTCTCCAGAGTAACATGTATCACACGGACATGTCTCATCCCGAGCTCTCCTCTCCCTGGGACTGTAGTGGGGGCTCTGAGGGGGGACTTACCTCTCCACCCCTGCCCTACTCAGAACGGCGCTCCCAAACCTTAACAGGATATCCCTATGAACATTCTCATCTTTCGTTTCAGTGTCCAACAGCATCTTCCAGTCGCCCGATGCATAAAACAGCAAGTGAATCTTACATGCCAAGAGATATACAAATGACATTTTCCAGTGTGAGCCCGGCCCCCAGTTTGGACTCACCCCCAGGCCCTTCTTCAAGCTCCTGTCCATCCACCTTTTTAGATTCACTTCTTGAGTTGGAACAAGATGAAGGCCAGTTATGTGCAAAAGTCCTTTCCAGTCTGCAGCGAGAACAAGCCAACCGAGGAAAGCATGACTGCCTGAACACCTTCAGTATCATGTGCAAAATGACCGACCTGACACTTTTTGGCCTTGTGGAGTGGGCCAGGAACAGTGGACTCTTCAAAGAGCTCAAGGTAATAAAAGGGGATAGAGAAAATAATATGCATTTATATGTTGGGCCTAGTTTGGTAATGGGTGAAAAAAATTAAACATTACATTTAAAACAATTACCTGTGACAGGTAGAAGACCAAATGCAGCTGCTGCAGAACTGTTGGAGTGAACTGCTGGTGTTGGACCATCTCTGCAGGCAGGTGTTCTACGGAAAAGACAGCTGTATTTATCTGGTGACAGGACAACAGGTAGTAAACAATGAAATCAGCTCTTTAGAAACCTTGCTTCAATAAAAATCTGCTCCTCATCCAATCCTTTCCTGTCATTGAAGCGCAGATTGAGGTCTCCACCATCATCTCACAGGCTGGTGCTACACTGAGCAGCCTGGTGTCCAGAGCGCAGGACCTGGTGACCAAGTTAAGAGAGCTCAAGTTTGACAGAAAAGAGTTCGTCTGCCTGAAATACCTAGTATTATTTAACCCTGGTGAGTATGTAAATGTAGAATTAGCGATGCATCAGATTTTTAGAGAAGCAAATTAGCTGTCTCAAAATTGTTGTGGAATTACTAAATACATATGCAGCAAATACATAATGAGAACTTTCTTTAGGGGGTTTTCAGAATACAGTTAATGTAAAATCCTCTAAGGACTACATTACAGTATTTTATCATCCATTTCAGTAATCTAAAAAATAAACGTGATTTAAAGCCGTGCATTAGAGTGTTTCCCTGATCTAGCAGAATTAATAATGAAGAGCAGAGTTGGTTTGATCATGTGATGTGTTTTCCCGATAAACAGGACATCAGTATTCTGTATCTTAATACGTGAGTATTCTCCAAAACACTACTGTTACAGTCTATGGTTATTGCTCATATCCCACTAAGAAACTGTTACGCACTACGTTCACCAACAACCAATCCCAGTGTCGCCGTGATGACTGAAATGTGTAGATCAGTACATTCAGCTGTATTGGATATGTATTTTATCAGTGTGTCACCTTCTCCCTCCGTGTGCAGATGTGAAGTGCGTGCAGAGCCGCGCTCAGGTCGCGAACACGCAGGAGCGTGTGCACAGGGCGCTGATGGCGCACACGCAGCTTTCACATCCGGGACACTTGGACAAGTTCGCACAGCTGTTGCTGCGGCTTCCCGAAGTGCGCAGCATCAGCTTACAAGTGGAGGAGTATCTGTACCAGCGCCACCTAGTGGGCGACCTGCCCTGCAACTCACTGCTCACAGAAATGCTGCACACCAAGCATAGCTGAAAGTGCTTTTCACACTGCATCCGAATTAGAATAAAATACATCTTTTCCATCATTCTCCTTTCTCGAGACGAGATCTTTTATTTTGTCTGAAGTAAAGCAGTTAAAAGGTATACAGGAGGATGTTCCAGATTTTTTGGAGAGAACCGCCCTCCAGAAGGAAAATATACTAAAACTATCACCAGAATTATTGACAATTTGAAGGACCAATAGTCTAGATGATCCACCCGGAAGAAGAAAGTCCTCCTATATACCTTAAACCAGCCATTCCCAAACTCAGTAACACCGAGGCCCCCTTAAAAATCTGACGGGTCTGCGTGGCCCCCCAAAATAATAACCAAGAAGACAACATTAAGAATAGGCTCTTCTGGTTATTTTATTTTGGGGAAATAGCCTCTGCTACAAACATTGTAATACAAAAATGATTACAGTGGATTATTCAAGTCAAATAATGAACACAAATATTTTAATATTACAAACAAAACATTATAAATTTAACATTAAATAATTATATTATTTTTTTTATTTTATTTTTTGACCTCCCGCGGCCCCCCTGCAGTACCCTCGCGGCCCACCAGGGGGCCGCGGACCCCACTTTGGGAGACACTGCCTTAAACTTTTCTGACAGGGTCCGCACTCACTTGTTGCCATTGAGATAATATAGTTGTACTTGGAATGTATGTATTTGGTTATAGATGTTTTTATTGCTAAAACATGAATTATTACACATTGGGTGGGTTTTGCTTCTTCGTAGATTAGACAAGCACAGTGATGTCACTCACTGGTGCTAAAAAATATAACCATTCCAGAGGAGCTAAAACAATCAAGTGGCAGACCCTCTACCAGAAAAGTCCATTTAATCTTTATTTAATTCCAAGTTAAGACTGAAGTAAAAATTATTGGAACGGATGCTGGTCTTGTCAATGGAGAAAATGGATCTATGAAGTATGATGACAGTACAAACACCAAATATTTCAAACCTGTTCTCATTTTGATCTGTAACAAAATAAAACAGATGAAACATAAATCGTGAAATGATTAAAAAGTACTTTATTTTTTGATCCAGTTATCAGTGACACTTAATGAAATGAACACACATGATTGCAAAGCTCAATCTCAGAACAAAAACTAAGGAGCACAGACATGAAATGAATGACGTAACAAAACCTCAACCAAAACAGAAAAGAATTGGAATTAAACATTGTTCAAGCCAACTAAATAAATATAAATACCTGTATGTGACAAGGGGGGCTTCAAGAGGAACATTGCACAGAAACAAAATATATATATTGCTCTACTACGACCATTTTTTTTACAAGTATATAAATAATACAAAAATCATACAGTAATTACACAGTCTATTAGATTGCTTCGTCATTCATAAATGCTGCTCTGTAATCATCTAAAGAGTGTAAAGTAAAGGCAGTGTCACCAACGCTGCTACTGTAGTGCTTAAGATCGGAAAAAGAAAAGTGGCCAATGTCCGTTTGGTAATATGTAGTGATATGGCACTGATCACCATCCGCTGCAGAATCCGGTTTCGCCCATTAGTGTGTGGACATACTGGCCAAATGACAGGGGCTTAATGACATTAAGTGTGTCTGGAAAAGGATCCGTATAGAGATGCTTTATGCTTCAAACGAAGAGAAAAGGACCAGACCAGACAAGTGACCTAATGGATTTATTCATCCCTTAAATAATAATAATAATCATAAAAAAGCTATCAAAACGTTAACCATTCTCACTCATTCTTAATCATACTCTTCACAATTCTTCAAGCTGCTCACTTACTGATAGCTTACAAAAATCAATTAGTCATACAAATTAATGCAAGGAGGAAAAATTCATTGATTTCCTTCATCTTTTGTTTCAAGATTAGGATTACATTTCATTATTGTTAACCGCAATAATAAAGAGGATTTCATTCATTCTTGTCATTCTTTGCTCAAATGTACAATAACTTGTCAAGCTAAATGAGCAGAGGCTGAATGCACAGACGGTAATGCATGTGAACTGACACCAGCAGCAGGTCCAGTGCAGCCTGAGCACAGCCTCTGGCCCCAACAGGAGGAAGTGGTCACAGAGGACCTTACATTCACAAACCCACATTAGAGAACCCCATTGTCTTTTCAGCTATGACACAGGAGCTATGAGCCCTGGAAGAGGTAAAAGGCAGCGACAGGAGAAGCAGGCTAAACTGAGGGATCATACTTCCATTCCCAAAATCTGTGGGAAAAGGCAGTAAGGGCTACACCCTTACATCACCAATGGGTCAAGTAAATTATAGGTAGGGAAAACTTCATTCAGGCAAAAATCATTTTCCTTTGTACACAAAATGTCAAAATCAACAGAAACCTTAAGAGTCAATCAGAAGCTTTTTTTTTTAATGTCCATCTATTGTGACTATAACTAATGTTAGGCCTAGACTCATGTTCTCACATTGAAAGCCATTTAAATGGGTCAGCCGCTCCTTATGCAGGTGCCACAGATCAAGCGCCACACCGGCCAAACACCCGATGATGATGAACGATCCTGGATAAGATCATGCATCCAACTCGACGTTCATTTTGGGGTCCCGAGCTTCTTGGGTGTCCCCGGTCGTTTTTGCCAAAAGTGACCGGGTATAGTGATGGCATCCACACTCATGGACATAGTTTTGGACGGTATGGCAGTGAATTGTTTGCGGTCAGAGCTGTATTTGAAAATGGACTCCACCATGTCAGGAAAAATTATTCGAGGACCGATTCCAGTGAGTCGCTCCATCTCCTCCGTCTCTGGGTTCATGGTGTAAATGGCTCTGAACTGGCAGCTGGAGTCTCTGAAGAGGATGAGGAAGTGGTTTGCTGCACTCTTTTCCATTTCCTAAAGATAAAATGTAAGAGACGGGTCAAAACACTTGCCAAAACTGATTATTTCAAAGCCCGAGCGGCCTCTTCTGGTGGACTCTTGTGGCATAAATTACCTCAACAATCTTGTTTTTCTGTGGTTCGTTGACCTTCCCGGCCAGGCAACAGCGAGTGATTGCATTATGGATAATGAACTTGTTGGACTTGAAGCTTGGCTCTTTGTACAGCTTTGGTCCTGCAATAGAAAATAAAAAAAATAGCCATTATTTCCACAGATCAGATTTTTGTCTTTTCCGTATATAATGAATAGTTTTACAGTGTTTTGACACATAATGAATTCCTCCACAAAATCATCATCAGTAATTTAGTGTCACAAAATCTGTTGTCCCTGTAACACCAGGAAGTACAGTTATAAAAACCAGATTCAAACTGGAATGAAATTTGGTCCATTGTAAATTCTTAAATAAAACATCTTGACAGTGTTGTGTATTTTGAAAGTATATGTATGATATTGCATTTTTGTGTGATTTGAGTATTGTGAATACGTATTCTCAGTACATGTACAGGATTTGGTCTGTCAGAGCAGGTGACAGGATAACTTAAAGCGTGGAGGATAGAGACCTGTGTATTCTGGAATTGAAGCAGGTGATGAAATATTGGAGCCGTTTTCCCAGTCGTTTTGAGATCCCCGCCGCCCTGGTGACCGGTGACGTGCAGGAGAGTGTGAGCGGCTGAAGGAAGCAGGAAAGAAGGTACGCACAGGTCAACAGTTCCCTTATCTCAATAAATCAATCTTTATAGACAAGTTTCAAACTCCAAATGTGTTTTAAGTCAAAAGTTAAGAGGCTGAAGTCTGGGGCCGGCAACAAAGACGACCCAATGACCCCGTGTGCTCTGTGCCTGTCTCGGGGGACTTCAGGACAAATGACCTGTTGCCTTGTTATCGATTACTGTACTTTAAAGCCAAAGGAGTGAAGGACGGTGGTGATGCTGACCAGTGTGTTATAATCAAGTAGCAGCATTTTTCACTGCATTGCAATAGTTTAAGATTGTGAATAGTCCTCTCAAGGTTGGTGCGAATTGAAAAGGTTAATAATAATAAATAAAAATGTATTTTGTTTATTTATTTGACAGGGACATTGCACAAGTTCAGATCAGACATAACTCATAATTTTCATCTGTAGTCCTTGGGCAGAGGCAAAGTGACAGGAGGTTTACAGTGTGCAAAGAATTAATAAAAAGAATGGCCTGGTTAACGTTTAAAATACAGGTAAAATGCAACACCCGTAACCACAGACAATATATATACACTACACATACACAATTAATTACAATATTAATTTAAAGTGTTATACGCTTTTCTCTCCACCACAGTTCAACTAAAATGTAAAGACTAACAATAATTTAAACAATATGTATTATTAGCCATTTTTCTTTCTTTTCATTTAAGCGAGTATTTACCTGGGAGACTTTCTGACAGTCAGTCCTCCCGAGTCATTCGCCATTGACGACAGATTCATGCTGGAGTGAGAGTACACCTTGCTTAATTTGGTACCTGTGAAATGAAAACAATACACATTTTGAAACAACGTAACAGTCAGAAAGAGGCAGAAAAAGCAACAACGAGTTACCCATCAAGCCTTTAGCCGGGCTGTTGGACAGGACAGAGTCGTCCCTGAAGACTGTCTTCGGTCTCTGCTTCTTCACACCGCGCACAGTGGTGGGTTTCTGCCTCAGCACTTTGTCCAAGTCCTCCATGATCTTGAGCTGGTGTCGGCGCTCATACTCCTGCCTGGTGAAGTCGCCTCTGCGCTGTGGAGTGCCCTCTGCTGGCGGGGTGTGTGACGTGGGCGGTGTCCCGGGAGTCTGGGCCTGCTCGTCTTTGTTTCCCCAGCCCTCAATGATCATCCACTGGGGCTTGCTAAAAACAAGATCATGATGAGTTTCATTGTAACAACTGCCTTTTTATGAAATGTCCTTTTGTGTGGATGGCCGGTAACTTTACTACCAAGTCCACTTTGTTTTATGAGATTTTTAACATGTAATGCCCTCTTAATTTTTAATTTAAGAAATTGGATGAGAAACATACAAATGGTGGAGCCCTGAAACTTCATAAGACATAGAGGACTACTAAAATTAAAGGAAATATATAAAAGAAAACTATGTAAGAAAAATGTTGGAAATGTTAGTGGGAGGTCAGGTCGCAGGATTCAGGAGCTCAGGTAACAATTCTGCTTCTTTGGCACCTAAAGAGTCAACTCTGTCACATCATAAATTAGATGATCTCGTGGCAATGAAACATATCCTTATTTATATCCTGTCTTTTCATAAATGCTCAAAAATGATTAAAAGTCAAATTTTACTTGGATTCTTTTTCCTTTTCCTGCTCCAGCTTGCGCCGTTTCATCTCTTCAGCTCTTTTCTGTTGTTTTTCAAGAAGAGCCGCTTTACGCTGAGCCATTTCATCTTCTGTTCGCTCTTTAGTCTCCTAAAATACAACAGAATACAATGATCATTTCTTCTTTTTAAAGTTTCTTTTTACCCTTTTTACCTTGAAAAAGAATCCCACGCCGCCTCTGAGCTCGGACTCTGTCTGTTCACTTACAGAATCAGGCAAGCCATCTGCTGCTGGGACCTCCTCCTCTCCGTCGCCTCCGAGAGCCGACAGAGAGATCTCGATCAGACTGCTACCTTTCCCATTTATTCCTGCTGCTGGTGCATCGCTCTCAAATGAGCATTCTGATGGAGCGCCGGAGCTGCAGCCGCCACCCGTTAGCCTGTCCTTCGGCAAAGGGGAGGGCCGTGCATCAAAGTCCATACTGAATACACTCTGATAGTCTGCGGAGCCCGCTTCAGACAGCCCATCTTCTGCATGGGGTGGATGTGGGCTGGACGACGGCGTCAGAGCAGGTGTGGGCACTGGGGTTGGTCCGAATGAGCGTAGGTCATCTAGGCTTTCAGCGTCGCCGATGGAAAACGCAGAAGAAGTCTGGACCTGAGAATGTGCTGGATTGACTCGACGAAGATGAGGGATGCGGTCTACGTTCTGGGGAGGATTTAGAACTCTTGAAACAGTTGCGACCTTATTATTATCAAGCTGGCGACTATGTTGGCTGTGTTTCGGACTCTTGGGTGGTACGGATTGAGCTCTCCGTTGTACCAATTTGGGAGATTTGGGCGGCGTGTTATGATTTAAGATTTTGCGTGATGGAGATGGGGCACTAGGAGAATAATTGAAATCCCGAGTGGACTCTCTGGAGTGGCGAGAAGTGGAAGAGGCAGGGGTAGAGGTTTTAGGGCTTGCTGGTATAGTCCATGTTTTGTTACTTGGTGAAGCAGGTTTTTTCATAAACTGATTTTGTTGGTTAGTCAGTCGCTGCATGTCACTTTGTAAAGAGCTCAGTGCTGCGGTCAGCTTAGAAACTGCATTGTTGTAGTCTCCAAGAGGAGCCGCCATTTTTTCATTTGGTTGACCAGGGGTGTTCTCTGCAGGGATGTTTGGCTTTTCTTTGGACATAGCAACTTGTTTGTTGAGTGCTTGCCCTTGGACATCACCAGCTGGTTTTTCAACATCCATTTTATTTAGTCTGTCCTCCAAAGCCTGTTGCGACATGTCATAATCGGTAGATGAAGGGATTAAATCTCCATCCACGCCTTCTTCCTGTTCCTTCTTCAATTGTAAAAAGGCACTTTTCCCTAGTCTTTGTCTGTGCTTTGCAAAAATGGCTTCTATACGTTTCTTCTGGGCTTCAATGGCTTTGCGTTTTTCCTCAAGTCGAACCCCAAGCTCTGACATTTCATTATTTAGCTGTGGACTTTTGCTTGGACTTTCTTCTGACTTTTTTTCCCATGAAGTCATTTGAGGTGATGGGGGTTCACTCGATTGAGGAGAATCCAGTAATTTTTTTTTCTTACGTTCTGCAAAGCTGGTCATTTTCACACCACTGTCAGAAGCCTCATTGCTTCTCGGAGCGTCGCCTGGGGCCGCTGGTGTGGATAGGATCTTAGGTAGGTCCTCTGATGCATCAGAGTCCACACTACCATCTCTTAAAACAGAGTCATCATCCCGTGAACATTCTGAGGCGTTTCTAGTGCGTTTGGGATCTTTCGGCCTGAAAATCATTCCTGAGCGCGAAGGAGCAGAAGAGCTGACAGGGGGCGAGCTATTGGAGTATCGAGAGCTGGCAGGGTCGTCAGGGGAGTGGAGGTAGAAGCCATCTGGAGCACCATCAGGATGGAGCCGCTGCTCCATCTTGCTCTCATTGTGAATGATCTGAAGAGCCTCCTCAATTGTGGGCACCTCGCCTGCCTCATTGACATCGAGGCCATTCTCTTCAGCCACTTTAGGAATATTTAAAGCCTGGGTTACCCATGATGCCCTCTGGGGGCCATTATGTCCCACAGCTTTGTTATGCACAGGAGCAATTTCTTCGGGAGGAGTGTAGGGAACTCTTGTCTGAACTCCTGGATTCAGCTGGTCTGAGCTCACAGAGCGTGTTATTACTGGATTTCCCATCACAACGTCCACATCACTGTCCAGGCCAAAGGGGATGCTAAACGACACTGCTGACAGAGGACGACTGAGTGGAGATACACACTCATTGTTAGCACATTACACACATAGCGTAAGAATAATTTACACGCTACACAAACATGCAATTTACCCGAGAGATTTCTTGTTCCAGGTCTTTCCAACTCCTTCTATATGAGACATTGAGGTAGACTGAGTCAAAGATCCTGAGTACATGGGGGCACACACACAAAATGAAAAAGGCATGCAAAGACCAGGGTACAATTAAATAAGTGCAATGAAAGACAAGGAATGTAACACAATGAGTGATTTAGGGACACAGCACAGAACTAATCAACAGGACAACTAACAAAGGAATGAGTTGTTCACAACATCAAAACCAGTCCAAGTGTTAATCTTACCTGTTGCAGACGCGGATATAGGAAGAAAGGGTTTCTTAAAAATAGAAGGGGAGGTACTGCAAAGAAAAGAGCGTCAGGAACGGTCATAAAGGGCGTAAAATATTAAAACAAACCCACAGTACCTGATAACGCTATTGGATTTTACAGAGGTGGATCCATCTGAAAACAAATACATTCAATGAAGTGGAATCGGATGAACAAAAAAAAAATAAGTAAAAATTATGTTTTTCTTACCTATTGTGTCAATTGGCTGAACAAAGTCTGGCCTTTGTACTTCAAACCAGTGTAGTAATTCTGCTAAAAAACTTAGCACATTTACCTAAATAAAATAAAGTATTTTTTTGTTACATCCACTACGACAAAACAAGATTAAATAACATTTAGCCCTTCTACCTGTAGTTCTTGGGGAATGTACAACACGTCCTCCAGTGTCAAGTGGCAGCAGCTCTTCAAACAGCTGTCACAGAACTCAAGGATGAACTGCAGGTTGTATACGCTGTCTGCTACAGACATGGACTCTTTCATACATACATCTATTAGGGAAACAGAACCGTCAGGAGAAAGTAACCAAAAGTAAACAAATAGAAATGTGCTTTCAGTACCTTCAAGTCTTAACAGGTCAGGACAGTAATAATGTATAACAGCAACAATGGCACAGCCACTGGACAAGTCACTGACGTCATTAACCACAGGGAACACGGGCTTCTGTCTGGACTGGACTTTATCTTTTCTGTAGCGAAGCTGGAGAAAAACAGACGTTAATTTGATCTTCATGGCAAAATATTTAAAAAGTTTAACATTCATGCAGCATACACCACATTATGCAAGGTGTGTGTCAGATTGTTCAATTCATAATTTATTGAACAATTAGTTGAGTAAACTATTGCCCCTTGATATCTAGTACAGTTTGATGGCTTGTAATATATACAAATCCCTTGTGTGTCTGTTAGTACAGTTCATCTACTTTGACACAATGCTTTGATGCAAAATGGCACTATTCTAAAGTAATTAGTGAAAGAAAGGCTGATGCCTGAAAGATCAGTTTTATAAACCTATGCAACATATCAAGGGCTGGAGAATGTCGTTAGTCATGCAGCACAAGCCAGAATCAGGATGCTTATATGAAACAGCCATGATGAGATGCACTTGTGTTCTCACACCAGCAAACACCTGAAGAACACACCTGACCAGCAGGTTTGGTGACATTTGGTGATGGCACTGGAGAAATGGACAAAGGAGCAGAGGGAAAAGGAAAGGACACTTACAGGAACAAGTTTCCAGTACCAGCGAGTGGGACACTGAAGTCAGAGGGGAAGGAAAACACAAACAGACAGACAAGAAGCACAGCAGCTGAGCAGAGATAAGAGGAAAGTAGTCGGAAACGGCAAGATAAGTGTTTCTTTAAGGATGGCTGTTTACTAAGTACCAGCAACTAAACTGATTTAATACAACTGCAGCATGCACAGAACGCATGAAATGTGTGTATGGCTGCAACAAGTTAAATAAACGTATTGATTATTTAAATAGTTTCCAACTAGTTAAGAAATTGATTAATCAATTGTTGAACTTTACATAGACAATTATATTGCGAAATGGTTTTAGGGTGCTGATAATTCTATGATGATTGCAGAAGTATTTTTAATCCATAAACTCAATGTGTAACAAGTCATCTCTATTAAAAAAAAAAAAAAAGAAATCCCCAGGGGAATCTCATTTGAACTGTTTTGGTCGAAAAAAAAAAAATATATATTATTTACAAACAACACTGTAATATAATAGTGATATAACATGGTTAAAAGTTAATTTAACGTGATTAACTTTATTGATTGGTATCTGTTAAGCACATTGGGTTGCGTTTATTTATTTCCTTACTATAGTGATATTTAGGCTATAAAAAAGGAACATTTTCCATTAATCATCCCATGTGTAAATAGTGTGCATGATACTCACCGAGGGCTGGACAGCTTGAGATTCTGTGATGGACTGAGACGTGTCACTATCCTCTTCTCCTGTGATATCTCTGAGCTTCTGATTTATCTGAGACATAACAAAAGGTTGGACGCCAAAAAAACATTGGATTAACTAAGCAAGGCATATTTATTAGTATAGCACAGTTCATTACACAAGGAAACTCAAAGTGCTTAGCGGAACAAGGTAGCAACACATATACCGGGCATTAAAATGAATACATACACATAAATATTCACAGTACAGTAAAAATAGTGAACATATAATTCTTTAATTAATTCATATAAACTGTGATTGGGTCAAATCTAAGGTTGGGTAATGTAGACTTGAAAATTATCGTTTTATGTTTAATGCATCCCGATAATTATTTCAGACCAAATGAACCATTAAATGCAATGCTAAATGTTATTCTGTTTCAGGTTTAACTCACTCATGAGCATGAGATATGTAGATGTATTGATTCACATGTATCTCTTGTTTATGAACAGAGCTCTATAAAAAGTGAATTTAGATAAAAGGAGCACATTGTCCTAAAAACATCTTAAACAACATTCAATACACTTCCCAAATAATAACTTTTCTCTTCCACTGATTGGTTGTGATGTGAATAATCATGAATAATTGTTTGTCAGATCTCTTCATACTATAGTACCTATGCAAATAAACACGTTTCTGAATGTTATTTCTCACCTTGTTCACCCATCGGAGGACAGTGGTCTCCCAGCTGCTCTGCGTCTCCACATTACCACACGACTTGACCACGGCGAGTGTCTCCATGGCAGCCACGGACATCAAAACATCGATCAAAGAGAGATGCGCACTCTGAAACCAATAACATGGGCCGAGCAGAAGATTTATTTGAGGAAATAGACACCACATCTACTGAGATTAATATATAAAATACAGCTGGTTTTTTTAAGCTGAGAGAGGTAGCAATACTATAGACTTCCTCCAAGTGGCAGCAGAAGCCGTTCCAGCGAAGTGAATGGATAAAGGTACATGTGCTTGAACTTTGGACCCTTGTTTATACAACTATAAATGAATTAACCAGTTACACTAGATTGCTTGTTCTCTGTGTCAGATAATTGATCAAATCCAACCATAAAACTCCTGCTAATGTGAACGATCAAAATGAAGATTTATCCCTTCTTGTTTCCAGTACGATACAACAATCTGGACTTTGTTTGGGAAGAATCAGGACAAGTTTAAGCTCCAAAGGTTTGCACACAAAAAATAAGGATTGTGCTTGTAGTCAGTCCATCAGCAAATCTTCAATTATTGCAAGTCTGGTTATTTTAATTTCAGTCAAATTGGTCTCAGCTCTAAAAGGGAATTTGTTAAAAACCCAAAAATATAAACAAAAACTAAAAATATTTAATTCAACCAAACCTGGAGCCACCCTGACTCATAACAGGTCATGCTTTGTGTTCTTAAAAGAAAAAAGAATCAGGCATTTACAGTTCTCGCCAGAAGAAGCAGGGCTCCCAGAAAACAAAGTAAAAGGGACATGGCATCTGCAGCCACACTCACTGGTCACGGGTGAAGCCGCTGTCGGACGCGCGTCTCTATTGAGCACTTTTTAAAGTTGCGTGCAAATAAACTCACAATGAAAGAGGCAGAAAACTATATAACAATATTATGACTGAAAATCACCCAATGGACCCTTTCATACACATATCTATTATACAGAAAATAACCATTAGCTGAAAATCGGCCAATTTATGGAGCACCTGGAGAACAAGTGAAACTGATTTTTGCCACAAGCAACACAAGCATTTCTCTTTTTAAAATCATTGGGACCTGAATTGACGCAAAATCACCCACCTCAAGCTTAAATGTAACAAATCATTATTGCAAAGATCCCTGAAAACCCCCTGAATTATTTAATGATAAGAACTATATACAAGTACTGTATTAGTAACATTTGTTTGATATCACCATACAAATTCACCATCCAAAGAGTCATAATATTAAAGAAAGGCCTATTCCTGTTTTGGAAAGTGAAAGCATTTCAATGCTGAGAGTTCTAAATGCAAAGCAAATTAAAATGAACCAGTCACTTTATCAGGTCAGCCGAAACAAGCACCTTAACTCCATTAACCATTTAGCTCATTAGGATCGGGATTTGCGCCATGGGATAGCTGTTCCTTCAAGCGAATGTAGCCCTTCACCTACTCTTCCCATTCACTTTACATGATTTAGATTTCAATTTACATTTGTACGTAGTATGCATGTTCCAATATAAAAAAGAATAAACAACATGCAAACACAAACACACACACACACACTGATCCCCTTTGAGCCAATTCATCTCCAAAGCATTAAACTAATCTGTACAAATCAGTGCCAGTTCCCTTTGCTACCGACCATAGAGGCCAAGCATTCTTACTCTAACCTCTGGTGTCGCCCCAGCTGGGGACGGCAGTGGTCCAGCTGCGTGTCTGCCTACTCAACCCTGAAGTAAAGTGCTGACCCGAGCAGACACGCTGCTGAAGAGGCCAGTGGGCGATGCCAGCGACGACCTGTCACAAAGCATTGGGTCAGTGCACTGGATACACTGCCATCAGAACCTCAGCACAGTGACCCTGTTTGTGCTCCACAACTCTGAAGATTAAAGACCCCGCTCAAAGATGCAGAGTTCATTGTGAATTATTGTTTAGTAAGAGTTTTTAATTGTAACTAAACTATTATATAAATCTCCTACGGGGATCAATAAAGTATCTATCCATCTCAATACTGTAAAACAAACCCATCAAATGTTGTAGGTCACTTAAGAAAATGTATCTAATCTTGTCAAAAATACTGATATCCAACTAAATAACCTAAATCATTTTTTAAATTGACTGACATGTTTGCAATGCAAACTAGAACAAAAACTGAACACTGGTGATAGTGCAATGTTTACTCACATGGGGAAGGGGACATGTTCTTAGCTGGTGCAGAGAGCTCTCTAAGCTAAATCACAAGTCCACCTAATGAGAGGAGAACGAGAAGTAGTTCGAGGACAGGGTACTGGCCCTGCCAGGTCACCATAACAACCAAACAGTTGACCCACAATGCATCTGAACACAGCACTACTGCATGCTCCTGGATTAGCACTAGCATAATACTTAATACCGTTTATGAATTTATAAAATGTAGGATTTCTCCAGATTAACACCACATAGATGCATTTCAACTCTACCATTTTAACAGCAGAAAGAAACGAAAGACAGTATACAGTCCATCATTCACTCAGTATTATTATCAAAACAAAATCTGATTATGTTTGAAATATTACTTGACCCCTCCCCCATGCTGACTCGTGTGTTTAGAGGGGGGCAAATATTGGGATCAGGTCTGTCTGGGGCCCTTGCAGGGGATTTCAGAGAGAAAATCCTACCACAACACATGTTATGAAAACACTCATAACAGATCTTGCAGCAACTTATTTATTGTGACTTGTTCAAAAGTTGAAGCAATTTGTTAGACAACTTCAGCCATTATTATTCACAATGCAGGAGGCAATGTTGAAGTTTGAAAATCTTAAATTGATCCAAATTATGGCTGTGCTCAACTAAATGCATTTCATTGCCAGCATGATCAGAATACTTAAAACTGACCATTACAGCAGTAATTTCATAGAACATCAAGTCCTAATGACGTGGCGTCTGCATCACAGATTATCTCTAATCTTTACAGATCTTTATCCTCAATCTGAGGAGTGGCGGGGGCTGGGCTCCCCTGCAAAGGTCACACACAGAGCTCTTTGGGGGTACAGGAAGGAACAGTTGAAATTTAAGATAAGGCTACATTAGAAGAGAACATTTGGTTTTACCAACACAAATCCTTGGTGAGTTAAGACCCACTGTGCTCCTTCTCATTGCTGCAGCAGTATGACCCATTTTCATGGCTCACAATCTCTGAGAGCGCAGGCCAAAGGCGACTGGAGACTCACATACTACAGGAAAAGTAGCACACAGCAAATGCTGCTATAAGTGTGTCAGCCAAAACCAGGGATCAGAACCTACTGGAGCTGAGGCACAAAAAACCAGAGACTGGACCGTAACATTTTGGCAGAAAGTTTCCACAAAGAGAAACATGGAGTCAAGTGCAGAGAACATGACCAGAGTGGCACGGCAGGAGTGGAAAGCACTCTTGATTCTCACCAAGAAAGTCTTTGGTTCGAATCCCGGACGGAACAGGGCCTTTCTGAGTGGAGTTTGCATGTTCTCCCAGTGTCTACGTAGGTTTCCTCCGGGTGCTCCAGTTTCCCCTACTACTGAAAACATGTACAATAGGTCTGGAATGCGCCTCCTGTTCGTAAAGCGTTTTGTGACACTGGTCTGTGAAAGGCGCTATATATAAAAATAAAGATTACTTACTCACAACATAACACTATGGCAGCAGCTCACCAGGCCACACACAGAATCATGTGTGTCTGGACAAACATTTATTAGTTTCCTCCAGAGTAACATCTGAATTCTGCTGCTTAGAAACATTCTTGACATTCAAGAACACAGTTATAACATCTGTAGTCTTAAAAACAAAATACACAGCCTGGTGAAGGCCTAAGGACCAAAACACTGCAGTTTCTGACTGTAGCTCCCTTCAAAAAAGTAGTTTTATTTAATCATATTATGAATCATTATAAAATTCTTTCCGTCATCCACTTTGGTTAGTTTTGAATTTAAGAAGCTCCTGGTCTCCATTATTTTTTACAAAATATTCCTAGTTGTAAATAAACAGGCGCAGAAAGTGAGAGCCTGAGGTAGCATCCCAAAGCGGACAAACCTGTTCCTCTCCTCACAGAACACTGATGCAGCTAAGGTTTCACTAGGACTGTCCCGCCATTGTTGTGCCGCTGATCTGGAGCATCCATTGTGCCTCATTCAGAGTTCTCCTCACGCCCTGAAATTAAAAAAGGCGTTCCTTGTGCGGCTCCTTTTAGCTTTAGCAGCTGGATCCAGTCAATAATGTCAGATTTCATATAGAGACAAAAATATATAAAAAGGTTTGAAAAATTCACATTGAGTGAAATATTTCAAGCTTAAATTTCTTGTAATTTTAAGATTGTGTATACTATGTGTATAATAGATCCATGTCTGAAGCGGCTGAAACGCTGTCAAAACTCTAAACACAGAAAAATACAGCTGCACAGGACAGTACCACCCTCTGAGGGGTCGGGCTCCAGGAGGGCCGTAGTTCATCCTCTCGACTAACCACTGTTCTTTCTTTCACAAAATACTCATGCTAAGCAAACATTAACAGTTTGCTCATCACTTTATATCATATTATTGCAGTGTAAATGTGGTGCATGAGAAGACAGGTTGATTTAACAGTGGACCATATTTAAGTAAGCCATGTGAAAATCCAGCATTGCATGTGTAATATTTTACCATTTTGATGGGTTTATGTCGTAGGTCCGTGTCAGTTACAGGGACACGCTGGTCTCCACAGGCCATTCCTCTCTGAGCACAAAGCTTCAGCAGAGCCACGTTGTCTTTGGGCTGAGGCTCGGCCTGGTTCGCTGCCGTGATCAGGCCGTACGTGCGACAGTAGAGTTCAGAGGACTGCAGGAGGCGGGTGACGGGAGGCTTGAGGTGCTCCTGCTCATACTGGTCACAGTAGAAAGGGTCACGAAGCTCCACTGGGACATTCTCTGCCAGGAGTCAAAACATTCAAAGTTAGATAAGTCCCAGGAACGGTGCTACTGATAAACTCACACTTTCACACAGACAGTTATGTATCTTCGTAACTGACTGACAATGTTTATCTACATGATGTTAAATAATGTTATAGTACTTACACGGCCTGTATTTAGGGAATTTTACTAACCCTGTTAACTAGGCCGCCATAAAAATCAACATTTTTAGGATATCATTCTTCAGAAAATGTTTTTTTTTTTTTTAACAATGATGCAAGTCCAATACAGCAAAACAATCAAAGTCCTTTTTTTTATTTGTCCATTTCAAAAATATCAGGAGCCAAACTAATAATAAGCCAAAATAAGTTTTAACCATCAACATCTATAATGTCATTGTTTTATTAAGAAAAACTAAATACACAGCCTGGTGAAGGCCTAATGACCAAAACACATTTCAGTTTCTGACTAGCTCGACTCAAAAAAGTTGTTTATTTTAATGATATGATGAATCATTTATAAAACCTTTCCGTCAGCCACTAATCTGACACTTTGGTTAGTTTCAATATCAGCAGCTCCTCGTCTCCATTGTTTTTCACAAAATATTCCTAGTTGTAAATAATAATAATGATAACTAGAAACTTGCAATGGCTGAAGCCATTGCGATTGACTGCGGAACAGATCTAATGTGGAAATCTGCTAAAAAAAATCCTTGAAATCCTTTAAAAGGCCTTGAAACTGTTAAAATACTTGATAGATATTTGAAACTCCTGAAGTCCTTGAAATTGTTGAAACCTTTAAACTCCTGAAATCCTTGAAACTGTTGAAACATTGAAACTCCTGAAATCCTTGAAACTTTTTTAAACCTGGAAACTGTTGAAAGTGTGGAAACTCCTGAAATCCTTGAACCTCCTGATATCCTTGAAACTGGTTAAATTCTTAAACAGTTGAAATCCTTGAAACTACTGAATGTATTGAAAGTGTCCTTGAAACTGAAAAATCCCCTCACCGCTGAAACAATTTGGTTCCTGTAACTAAGGAAACCTGGTCTGTGGTCATTATCTGGTGGTGGTCTGAGTCTTCGTTTGGGTCTTGGTCTGGTGGTATAATGCAACCTATTAGGTTGCATTATACTGGTTTACATGGAAAAATCCCTATTAGGTTGCATTATACTGGTTAACATGGAAAAATCCCTATTAGGTTGCATTATACTGGTTTACATGTACAAAATCCCTATTAAGTTGCTTTATACTGGTTTACATGTAAAAACCCCTATTAGGTTACATTATACTGGTTTACATGTAAAAACCCCTATTAAGTTCCATTATACTGGTTTACATGTAAAAACCCTATTAAGTTGCATTATACTGGTTTACATGAAAAAAAAACCTATTAAGTTGCATTATACTGGTTTACATGGAAAAATCCCTATTAAGTTGCATAATACTGGTTTACATGGAAAAATCCCCATTAAGTTGCATTATACTGGTTTACATGAAAAAAACCCTATTAAGTTGCATTATACTGGTTTACATGGAAAAATCCCTATTAAGTTGCATTGTACTGGTTTACATGGAAAAATCCCTATTAAGTTGCATTATACTGGTTTACATGGAAAAAACCCTATTAAGTTCCATTATACTGGTTTACATGTAAAAAAAACCCTATTAAATTGCATTATACTGGTTCACATGAAAAAAAACCTATTAAGTTGCATTATACTGGTTTACATGGAAAAATCCCTATTAAGTTGCATAATACTGGTTTACATGGAAAAATCCCCATTAAGTTGCATTATACTGGATTACATGAAAAAAACCCTATTAAGTTGCATTATACTGGTTTACATGGAAAAATCCCTATTAAGTTGCATTATACTGGTTTACATGGAAAAATCCCCATTAAGTTGCATTATACTGGTTTACATGGAAAAATCCCCATTAAGTTGCATTATACTGGTTTACATGAAAAAACCCTATTAAGTTGCATTATACTGGTTTACATGTACAAATCCCTATTAAGTTGCTTTATACTGGTTTACATGTAAAAACCCCTATTAGGTTACATTATACTGGTTTACATGTAAAAACCCCTCATAGTAGGGCAGCAGAAGAAAAGTTCCCTCTTCTCAAAAAGCAGCCGGCTTCGTTGGAGGTTTTTAATAAATAGTTCATCATTTTTTGATACTGGTTTACATGTAAAAACCTATTAAGTTGCATTATACTGGTTTACATGAAAAAAAAAGAAATCCTTATTAAGTTGCATTATTTGCTGGTTTTAACCTACCGACTTCTCTCATTTTCTGCCTAATGTAATCATGCTTTGTCTTATCATGCCCGTGTTTTAAGTACAGGTGCTCTCCGAGTCTCAGAATCCCCTTTTCTGCTTTGACAACACCCGTGACCTCATCCTGATGCATTGCCGAAATTAAAGACCACAGCTTTTTGCTGATGCCCTCCGGTACAGGCTGGGCTAGGGAGCAGAGGGACTGGACCCTACTTCTACCTGGTTTAGCCTGGGCATCTTTCTGTGAAAGCCGGCACCTGGCCACATGCCTCCACAGCGACTTTCGCTTAAGCAATGCCCCACAGTCTATACAGTGCAAAAACTCACTGGATTTAACTGGGCAATTTGGCTGTTTAGCTGGGACTAAAGTTCCAATGCCGGCCTTTAAAACCTCAAAATTGTGCTCACGGTTTCCACTATTCCTGATCAAATCAAACTGAAGTTTACGTGCTTTAGATTTCACAGGTAGAGCCAATGCTCTGGCTACGTCACTTTCATTTCCATGTTTTCTAGTCAAATGACGGGACATTTTGTGGCAGGACATTGAACAGTAGAGGCAGAAGTGTCTCTTGCTGTATACTCGCCCCCCATTTTTCTTCTTTTGCAGCTGCATGATAACAATCTTATTTGCCTTTGGTTCGTCACTTTCCGAGTCTTGAAGAAAAGTGTTTTTGATTTTTCTTTTTCCATACTTTTTTACAGGTTTCTTCTTGACAGTTAAATCGTCAGAATCTGAGTCGACTTCATCAATTAGGGACTCTTGACTAAGCTGCACAAACAACAAATAATTTGTAATCATTCTATATAACAATTTGAAGTCATGACTTGTAGTCAGCACTTACCAGTGGTTTGTAAGCGTGCGCTTCAGTGTGCTCCTCCATGATTTCTTGCAGCCTAATGAACCACACACTTGCACCTTTTTCTAGCCTGACACCTGATTTCCTCTGTTGTGCTGCTCCATGATTGGCTCCAGCCTGCTGGACTGAAATTGCCCCAGTGTGCCCCTCCTTGATATCCCGCAACCCACCACCAGGGTTCCGACACATAACACACTTTTTTCAGGAAAGTAAACCTCCAGGGGTCCTTTCCATATTTTTACAGAGACTGCATAAGGACCGTTAGAAAAGCATTACCCATTGATTATTAAGCTTGGACCAGTGGGGTCCGGTGTTCGGGCCCCACCACGTAAAACCAGTCCCCATGACGTGAGTGGAATCTCAGGTTATGGAACCCACCAGGAGTTGAAAACAAGTGCGCACACACACACACACACACACACACACACACACACACACACACATACTTGTCTTTATCATCTCGTGGGACCACCAGACCAGGACATGCATTGTGGGACCCAGCCTTTCTGTAGGGTTTACAGCAGCAAAAAAAATCAGGCATGGCCCCCTGGAGGTCCTGAACAGTAATATCACGTCAAAATCCAAGATTTCACAAACAATGTCCCACACCAGATTGTTACTATACTTCTGGGAACTTAACAGGTATTGCTATACTTGTGATGCCGAAACTTACACACTGTCAGGTTTTTAGCTACTTTTAGTCCCACGCATACACACTGTCAGGTTTTTAGCTACTTTTAGTCCCACACATACACACTGTCAGGTTTTTAGCTACTTTTAGTCCCACACATACACACTGTCAGGTTTTTAGCTACTTTTAGTCCCACGCATACACACTGTCAGGTTTTTAGCTACTTTCTCTCTCTCTCTCTCTCTCTCTCTCTCTCTCTCTCTGTCTCTCTCTGTCTCTCTCCCTCTCTCTCTCTCTCTCTCTCTCTCTCTCTGTCTCTCTCTCTCTCTCTCTCTCTCTCTCTCTCTCTCTCTCTCTCTCTCTCTCTCTCTCTCTCTCTCTCTCTGTCTCTCTCTCTCTCTCTCTCTCTCTCTCTCTCTCTCTCTCTCTCTCTCTCTCTCTCTCTCTCTCTCTCTCTCTCTCTCTCTCTCTCTCTCTCTCTCTCTCTCTCTCTCTCTCTCTCTCTCACTCTCTCTCTGTCTCTCTCTCTCTCTCTCTCTCTCTCTCTCTCTCTCTCTCTCTCTCTCTCTCTCTCTCTCTCTCTCTCTCTCTGTCTCTCTCTCTCTCTCTCTCTCTCTGTCTCTGTCTGTCTCTCTCTGTTCACCCCCAGACCTGCCTTCATCTTTTGGTTTTCTTGGTGTTCATTCCCTAGACTTTTGTTGCTGTTAATAAATTATCTTTTAGTTTCCTCTTGTCCTTAATGTTCCACCTGTAGAGCCAGAGTGTAACATATTGGGCTCGTCTCTTGGGTGTAACATATTGGGCTCGTCTCTTGGGTGTAACATATTGGGGTCGTCTCTTGGGTGTAACATATTGGGGTCGTCTCTTGGGTGTAACATATTGGGGCTCGTCTCTTGGGTGTAACATATTGGGGCTCGTCTCTTGGGTGTAACATATTGGGGTCGTCTCTTGGGTGTAACATATTGGGGCTCGTCTCTTGGGTGTAACATATTGGGCTCGTCTCTTGGGTGTAACATATTGGGGTCGTCTCTTGGGTGTAACATATTGGGGCTCGTCTCTTGGGTGTAACATATTGGGGCTCGTCTCTTGGGTGTAACATATTGGGGCTCGTCTCTTGGGTGTAACATATTGGGGTCGTCTCTTGGGTGTGAACATATTGGGGCTCGTCTCTTGGTGTAACATATTGGGGTCGTCTCTTGGGTGTAACATATTGGGGCTCGTCTCTTGGGTGTAACATATTGGGCTCGTCTCTTGGGTGTAACATATTGGGCTCGTCTCTTGGGTGTAACATATTGGGGCTCGTCTCTTGGGTGTAACATATTGGGGCTCGTCTCTTGGGTGTAACATATTGGGGTCGTCTCTTGGGTGTAACATATTGGGGTCGTCTCTTGGGTGTAACATATTGGGGTCGTCTCTTGGGTGTAACATATTGGGGCTCGTCTCTTGGGTGTAACATATTGGGGTCGTCTCTTGGGTGTAACATATTGGGGTCGTCTCTTGGGTGTAACATATTGGGGGTCGTCTCTTGGGTGTAACATATTGGAGTGTGTAGTGGGTCTCCCTGGTTTGACTAAGGAGGGATTGATCTAAGCTTTTTTTTTTTTTTTTATGAGGAAATCCTTGGGGGAGAATCCGTTCCTGTCAGGGTCAGGGCAAGTCTAGTTTCTGATGTTCTGCTTTTAAAGCCACCTCTCGCCCGACACTCCTCAGAAGATACTCAGGCTTTAGTTCTGCTTTGGTAGGTACCAGGGAACCATGTGTGTGTCGTGTGGAGAGCATTGTGTTACGTTTGGTGAGTTATGGTGAGTTTAGTGTGTGTCCTTTATCCTAACTGAGTCTAGTTTAGTCCTGACTGAGTCTAGTTTAGTACAGACTGAGTCTAGTTTAGTACTGAGTGACTCTAGTTTAGTCCTGACTGAGTCTAGTTTAGTCCTAACTGAGTCTAGTTTAGTCCTGACTGAGTCTAGTTTAGTCCTGACTGAGTCTAGTTTAGTCCTGACTGAGTCTAGTTTAGTCCTGACTGAGTCTAGTTTAGTCCTGACTGAGTCTAGTTTAGTCCTGACTGAGTCTAGTTTAGTACTGACTGAGTCTAGTTTAGTCCTGACTGAGTCTAGTTTAGTCCTGACTGAGTCTAGTTTAGTCCTGACTGACTCTAGTTTAGTCCTGACTGAGTCTAGTTTAGTACTGACTGAGTCTAGTTTAGTCCTGACTGAGTCTAGTTTAGTTCTGACTGAGTCTAGTTTAGTCCTGACTGAGTCTAGTTTAGTTCTGACTGAGTCTAGTTTGTCCTGACTGAGTCTAGTTTAGTCCTGACTGAGTCTAGTTTAGTTTTGACTGAGTCTAGTTTAGTCCTGACTGAGTCTAGTTTAGTCCTGACTGAGTCTAGTTTAGTACAGACTGAGTCTAGTTTAGTCCTGACTGAGTCTAGTTTAGTCCTGACTGAGTCTAGTTTAGTGTGTAATGTGCCTTTTGAGAATTTTTGTTTAGTTTTTTTGCTTCAGTGATTTTGAGAGAGACCTGCTTCAACCTCCTGCAGAGCTGCTGGCTCCTCCTGGTCCTGACCATGTGACTGTTCCTGATCTGTTCCTTCATGGTCTCTTCACACATTTATTTATTTATTTATTTTTTATTTATTATTTGTTCACAAACATGAGTTGAATCCACATCTTTTACAATTAGACAATTAGGTTTGTGAAGGGACTCCCATGAAGCACAACTTGGCTTATATATAGGGGCCCCAATAACATTCACATGTCGAAAGAACAGGACAACAAAATAAAATAAACAGTCTCCCACAACCCACCCCCCCACCCCCCCTCCCCAGTTCAATGCATTTTCAGACTGCCAGTAGCAGTCATGCCTTACCATGTCTATCAAACATATACAGTCCGCTTCAACACACTCACATCAGTTCTGCAATAACATACAAGAAATGAAATGAAAACCTTACATACGCGTTAGCGCTCATTCACTCAGATCTAACCGGGACAAGACCAAATAAAATAGTAAATGGTTGTCTGCTATAGAGGGTTGCATTATGCATAATGCAGCAGTAGTTTACACTTTAGATTCTTTTTAAAAACATTCAGAGAAGATGATTCTTTTATGGAGTTGTCAAGCTCATTCCAGATCTCAGGGCCCTTGCATGCTACGCTAAAACTAGTGCACTTCAGCTTGCGCTTTTTCCCTCGCAGTAAGGGTTTCCCTCTAGTGTTGTGACAGTGAGGGGCAGAGGTCACTGGGATGAGACTGGAGAGCCTGGTATTTAGTTTGTATACTACATTATACATAATGCAAGCGTTATTAAAACTGTTGCACTCAGTGAGCTTCAGTAGCTTAAACCTGTAAAAGAGAGGATCAGAGGGAGCATCATATTTAGACCAAGCAATATTACGAATTAATTTCTTTTGTAGAATCAGTAGCTTTTCAAGGTGGCTTGGATACGTGTTACACCATATTACATTACAATAATTAAGGTGCGGTTCAAATAGAGACCGGTATAGAGCTAGGAGAGCTTCAAGGGGTAGATAATGTCTCAATTTGAGAAATAGACCAACATATTTAGATAGTTTATTCATTAGATAATCTATGTGTTTTTTAAAGTTCAAGAATTCATCCAAATATATTCCTAAAAATTTGATGTTCTCTACTCTCTCAAGAACTCTTCCATTAATTTGTATTTTAATACTTTCAATGTCTTTACAGCTTCTATTTGAACGGAATATTATATAGTTGGTTTTGTTTATGTTTAATGATAGTTTGTTGCATTTTAGCCAATTTTCTACATTGATGAGTTCTTCATTCACAACTTCTTCTAGACTGTCCAAATTTCTGTGTGACAGGAATAGGTTTGTGTCATCAGCAAATAACACCTTATGAAGAACAATAGACGAATTCATAAAATCATTTACATAAACAATGAAGAGAAGTGGCCCCAATATAGAGCCCTGGGGGACTCCATATTTAATAATTTTATGTTGGGATTTGCTGTTTTGTAATTGGACATAATGCTCCCTTTCAAATAAATAGCTTCCAAACCACCTGAGTGCAATTCCCCTGACCCCATAGTGTTCGAGTTTCCCAATAAGGATCTCAAAATCAATGGTGTCAAACGCTTTTGATAAATCAAGAAAGACACCAATTCCACATTCCCCTTTATCAACAGTGTCATTAATTTTTTCAATGAGATCAAGAACTGCCATACATTGAGTTCTTCTGTGGTTGCTGTGGCCTTTGCTGACCAATCCATTCATGGTCCTGGGTCCAAGATGTGGAGTCTCTCCGGACCGCTGCCTTCTTATATATATATATATATAAAAAAATATTTAAATAAATTGTCCACTCACCTTTGGCCCTCCGCGGGCGGTTATCCCTCTCTAAGCTCGGGTCCTGGGAGCTTGAGGGTTCTGCGCAGTATCTTTGCTGTTCCTAGCACTGCACATTTCTGGACCGAGATGTCCGAGGTTGTTCCGGGGATCCGCTGTAACCACTCTTCTAGCTTCGGGGTCACTGCCCCGAGTGCACCGATCACCACGGGAACCTCCTATATATATATTATATATATATATATTATATATATATATATATATATTATATATATCTGGACCTTTTTGGAGGATTGGAGCGTTCATAGTTTTCATGTTGATTTGAGATCAACGCTGTGGCCTCTCAGACTCTTTGGAAACTATGCACAATATAGAACAAGTTTCAACTGGTCTCTGGCGCCCTCTGGTGAACAATCCACGCTACAACACTGAGACAGTCTTTACAAATAATGACTGACCTTAAAGCTGGGGTACGTAACTTTAAAACCAACAATAGAACTCTGTAATAAAAAAACATGTTCTAGATCCTGGCT